TATCTATCTATCTATCTATCTATCTATCTATCTATCTATCTATCTATCTATCTATCTAAAGTTCTTATCATCCCAGGTTAAGAACTTTTGACTGTAGACCACAATGGGCATCTGGTTCTTGCTGTTAATGTCTATCAAAATCAGTTAGACCAACCTGCTCCAGTGAATACTGCCTGATCTGAAATCTATAAAACAAATCCAGCAATTCATCAATTAAGTGCTAATTTGAGATTCAGGAAAAAAACCAAGCCTGAAATCATTATCTATAGTTAGTTTTGTTTTGCTTTCCCATAGAGGCAAAGCCAGATCTGATGTTTAAAAGAAATGCCTCATTTGTTATCCACTCATTTCTTTGTGGGGTCAGAGAGGAAATATTGGGTAATCAGATTTCCTTTCCTAAAATGAAGAAACCGAATGATGATGCAAACTGAACAGTCCTTTCCAGGTTTTCAATATACATAGGCAGGATCACAAGGATTATACACTATGGACAGATAGGATTTCTACCAGGAATACAGGGCTGGTTCAATATTAGGAAAACTCATCATTATTGATCACATCAATAACAAAAACAACAAAAATCACAATTATAGCAATAGATACAGAAAGAATTTTTCACAAAATATAATACCCATTATTATTAAAAACACTAGAAAGCATAGGAAAAAAAGGAATCTTTCTTAAAATGATAGTATCTATCTAAAACCATCAGCAAGCATTATCTGTAATGGGGATAAACTTGTAGCCTTCTCAATAAGATCAGCAATGAAGCAAGAATGTCCATTATTACCATTACTCAATATTGTGCTAGAAATGTTAGGTATAACAATGGTATAAAAAGAAATTGAAAGAAAAACATAGACAATGAAGAAACAAAATGGTCACTCTTTGCAGATGATACAATGGTATGCTTAGATAATCCTGGAGAATCAAATACAAACTAGTTGAAACAATTAACGACATCAGCAAAGTTACAAGATGCAAAATAAATCCACATAAATCAGCAGCATTTCTATATACTACCAACAAAACCCAGCAGGAAGAAATAGAAAGAGAAATTCCATTTAAAATAACTACAGAAAATATAAAATATTTGCAAATCTACCTGCTAAGACAAACCAAGGAACAATATGAACACAATTAAAAAACACTCTTCACACAAATACAGATGTAAACAATTAAAGAAATATTAATTGCTTATGAGTAGGCTGAGCCAATATAATTAAAACGATATTTCTACACAAATTAATTTACTCATTCAATGTCATACCAAACAAACTACCAAAGAACTGTTTTATAGAGCTACAAAAAATAATTTAAAAATTCATCTGGAAGAACAAAATATCAAGAATATCAATGAAATCAGTGGGGAAAAAATGAAAGGAGGCCTAACAGTATCGGATTTCAAATTATGTTACAAATTGGTAATCATAAAAACAATCTAGTACTGGATAAAACATAGAGTGGTTGATCAGTAGAAGAGATTAGATACACCCTATACAGAAGTAAATGACCACAATATTGTAGTGTTTGATGAGCCCAAAGAATCAAGATATTGGCACAGAGTTTATGACCAAATAAGAGAAAGGATCATAAGAAATAAAATGAATAATTTTGATTACATTAAATTAAAAAGATTTTGCACAAACCAAACCAATGCAACCAAAATTCAAAGGAAAATAAGAAACTTGAGGGAATTTTTAAAAATGTTCTCAGATAAAGACCTCATTTCTCAAATACATAAGGAACTGAGCCAAGCTTCTAAAAATAAGAGTCATTCCCCAATTGATAAATTAGTCAAAGGATATAATAGGCAGTTTTCAGAAGAAGAAATCAAAACTCTCAATAGTCATGGAAAAATGCTCTAAATCACTATTGATCAGAGAAACACACATTAAAACAACTCTGAGGTCCCACTTCACACCTATCAGATTGGCTAATATGACAGAAAAGGAAAATGACAAAGGCTGGAGGAAAATAGGGATCATTAATGCCTTATTGGGCACGTAGGTGATAAGCGGGATAGTGCACCAGCCCTGGACTCAGGAGGACCTTAGTTCAAATCCAGCTTAGGACACTACTAACTGTGTGACTCTGGGCAAGTCACTTAATCCTGTTTGCTTCCATTTCCTCATTTGTAAAATGAACTGGAGAAGAAAATGATAAACCACTCCAGTATCTCTGCCAAGAAAACCCCAAATGAGGTCACCAAGAGTCAGGCATGACTGAAATGACTCAGTAACAACAACAATGTGCTGGTGGTGGAGTTGTGAACTGATCCAACCATTCTGGAAAACACTTTGGAACTACACCCAAAAGGCTATAAAACTGTGCATACCATTTGACCCAACAACACCTCTACTAGGTCTGTACCCCAAAGAGATCAAAGAAAAAGGAAGCAACTACAAATATAAAAATATTTGTAGTGGCTCTTTTTGTGGTGGCAAGGAATTGGAAATTGGAGGGGATGCCCATTAATTGAGGAATGACTGAACAAGTTGTGGTAGAATGTGACAGAATACCTTTTTTTCTATAAAAAATGACAAGCAGGGTGGTTTCAGAAAAACCTGAGACGGATTACATGAACTGATGCAATGTGAAGTGAGCAGAACCAGAACACTGTACACAGTAACAGCAACATTGTATGAAGATAAACAGCTGCTCTGATTAATACCATGATCCAAGGCAATTCCAAAGGATCGAGGATTAAAAATACTATTCACCTCCAGAGAGAGAACTGGTAACTTCTGAGTGCATATTGAAGCATTTTTTCTCTTTATTTTTATTGCTTTTTTTGCAACATGGCTAATGGGGAAATGTTTCTTACAACTTCACATGTATATTTTGCATCAATTGCTTTCCTTCGCCATGGATTGGGGAAGGGGAGCTGAAGAGAGAGAGATTGGAATTCAAAATTTTAAAAATTTAAAAAAAAAACCAGAAAAAACAAACAAAACAAAAGATACATGGGCATGAGGAGAGACATGTACACTTATTTCACACATTTCATTCTCTCTATTCACATGATTCTAAGCTAGTTTAGGGTCTCAAATCTGGTAGTCTGAATCATCACCAAAGACTCCTGATAGGACTCCTGATTTCCAGACTCTCTCTTCTGAAGACCATCCTCCATACCAGTAGGAGAGCTTTCCAGGGCTCTCTATTGCCTCTGAGATTGGGTTTCTTAACCATTGTGGTGTCCTTGGGATGCCTGGGAGTTTTAAGATCACCTCAAACATTTACTTATTCTAAACAACTCATTCAACCTCCTGCACT